CAGGCCAGACTGTGGGCACCAGAGAGAGGCCAGGCATTCTTGTAGGAAGTACAGTACAGGGAGCTGGATGCCCATAGTCCCTTCAGAAGTCACCCTGTGTTCTGGGAGCTAAGGCATCGTCGGGGAAGGAGAGGTTTGAGGGGTGTGTGTGGGTCCCAAGGGTATGGAGGAATCTGGAGAGAGGGAGTCTCAGAGGAAGGGGGGTATATGGGAGACTCAGGGATCCAGGAGGATCCACGGGCTCTCCATGCACAGAGAGCAGCCAGCACTTCTGTACCTACTGGGCACCTACTGGGTACCAAGCCCTGGGCTGGGGGCTGAGGAATGTGAGGCCAGAATCCAGGTGGCTCCAGACAAAAAAAAAAGATAGCAGCAAACAAAATACTACTACATGGTTAAAAGTGCTCTCCATGACAAATACTGACCTGGGATAGGGGCCTGTGGAGAGGGTAGCAAGACAAGAGACTCCTGGACTTCCACATGTAAGCCCAGCTTTACAGAGAACACCAGAGCTGGCCTGGAGGTGAGGGCACAGGATTAGGGAAGGGTGCAAGCTACTTTTTTTTTTGATGGCACTGAGATTTGAACTCAGGACTTCACATTTGTAAAGGAGGAGCCATGCTTCCTGTTCCTTTATTTTGGCAATACGGTCTAGCAAATTAATTGCCCATGGCTGGCATCAATCTCAATCCTCCCAATCTCAGCTTCCCAAATAGCTAGGATCACAGGCGTAAGCGACTGGCACCAGGCTGTGCCACTTCTTGATGCAGGGGAAAGTGCCGAAATAAAACTGGACCCGGGAGGCGGGGCGTGGGAGGCAAACCAGTGCGGCCTCCTGACAAAACAACCTGCAGTTTTTTTCTTTCTTTCTTTTGGGTGGGGGTACTGGGGTTCAAACTCAGGACCTATACCTTGAGCCACTCCCCAGCCATTTTTTGTGATGGTTAGGATCCCGTGAACTATTTGCCCAAGGCTAGCTTCCAACCGCTATCCTCCTGATCTGTCTCTTGAGTAGCTGGGTTGAGCCACCCGCACCCTGGCTCAACCCGCAGTTTCTTACAAAGCTAAACATTCACCTACTGCAGGACCCAAAAGGGGTCCAGGCTGGTTCAGACCTGTGAAACTACATCCCAAAGACTGAAACTTCATGTGTGCAAGCCAGAAAAATCAACTAGAATGAAAAGTAAAACTCAGAGCCGGGCGCTGGTGACTCACATCTGTAATCCCAGCTACTCAGGAGACAAATCAGGAGGATCGGGTTTGAAACCAGGCCAGGCAAATAGTTCGCAAGACCCTATCTCAAAAAACCACACACACACACACACACACACACACACACACGCACGCACGCACGCCAGTGGCTCAAGGTGTAGTTTCTGAGTTCAGCCTCAGTACTGAAATAAATAAATAAATAAAACTCATCAATTGGTTGGGGATGTGGCTTAAGTGTAGAGCATCTGCCTAGCTACCAAAATTAAAAATGAAGAGTGCCAGCCTAGCAAGCACAAGCCAAGTTCAAACCCAGTGCTGTCAAAACACAAAAGCAAAAAACCTCATCAACTGGACACCTGTGATAGTTGCATTTTACCCCAAAGATAAAGAAATTGAGGTGCCCCGAGGGCATCGCTGCTTACGTGGAAGACAGGCTACCTAAGCACCCAACCAATGTGGCCGGTAGTCAGACAATCTGGGTCCTGAAGATACCACATTGCTACTCAGGAGCTTAGCAGGACAGAAGTTCCTATGAACCTGGACCCGATAGGACAGCAGGAGACTGAGAGGTGGGTCCCAAGATGATTGCTCCCTGTCCTACCCCACCCCACTTTCTAGGTCACTCCTTCTAGGGACTGCTCTCAGCAGGGTCTCAGCCCAGCCATCGTCCTGCAGGGCAGCTGGTCAACCATCCAGGACCCTGCTACTTAGTGTCAGGGATGGGGTGCAGAGGCTGCACTTCCAAGTCCCCCAGGGCCAATGGCAGACCTCCTAGGAGACATCTTTTCATGGTGACTCTAACCCTTGCAAACAGGGGTTACTGCCTGGGCCAGGTCACCACTGTTCTGCTGATGGTCCTCAGTGAGGACCACTGGCTTGGCTGCTGACCAATGAGAGGCACATCTGGCATGGTAAGTGGACAGCTTCCCATGGCCTTGCAAAGCTAGGGTGGGTGATGGCCACACCAGATGGTGACAGGAATTTACATTGCCTTCCCTCCTCAACTTGTTCTAGCCTCAGGACTGTCCCCTACAGAAGGTCCCACAGAATCTGGGGCTGGCCAAGGACCCCACATCCTGACTCAGATACCTGATGTCCCATCAGCAAAGAGCCCTCTGTGCACATCCTTGTCCAGGTGACACTCAGCTCCTCACGGATCCTTCTGACTCACATATGGTCCCTAGGCACCCTTGCTGCCCACAGCCAGAGCCCAGGTAACAGTTTCTTCTCATCTATGTCCCCTCATCTAACCCGGAGCCCAGGAGACAGCCACATATGCCACCTTGTCCCCATTCCCACCAGTCACTGGGTCCCTAAATTGGTTCCTCACACCCTCCTTTCACTATGGTTCTTCCTCTCAGCCTCAAAGACAGTCCTGCTCTTCTAAAACCTGGCCAAGTTGGGCAGTGAGTCCAACCAGAATCCTGCTGGGGCAGGCTCAGGTGGATGGATGTCCCTTTCTACTCCCCTGAGGCTGAGTGCATGGTAGGGTCTTGGTGTGGGAAGAGGGGGAGCCTCTGGTTCCTGGGGGCACCTGTCACCATCCTCAAGCTGCTCAGCTCCATCTCCTGGGAGCAGGCTGTTTCTTGGGGGGCTGGGGACTTCTCAGGGTTCCATAAAGAGGTTTCAACCCTCCTGCAGCTCAAGCCCATCATGAGCAGGGATAAGGAAAGCACTCTCAAAACACATGGAGAGTGCACAGGGGACACCCGAGCTCCTCTGGGCTGGTGAGGGACCACATCCCAGCCAGGGCCTTTCTTTTGCCCGCTGGGGAAGGGGTCTGCAGGAATAGAGAAGTTTGGGGGCCAGTGGAGGAGGCCCTAAGTATCTTTGTCCCTCCATCAAGACAGTGAGGAGACACTCACTATTCAGTGAGTCCTTTACGTGCTTCAGCAACTAGATAAGGATGAGCAGGGAGACCCCAGCCCAGATGTCTTGTACCTCTAGGAGACCAAGGAGGGTCCATGTTGGAAAGACAGCCCAAGTCCTACCTAGTAGCAAAAGCCAGGACTTGGGCCAGCACAAGGGGCAGACCCAGCCAGGACTTCTCCTGGGAGAGCTAGGGGAGCTCTGAGCCTTTAAGAGCCCCTTCTTTTGGGAGCTGCATCCCCACTGAGATGAGTTCATCCCAAGAGGAGCTGCAGGGCCTGTCTGACGCAGCCTCATGGAGTCTGCTCCCTATGGACTAAGACCCCAGGGACCATCTCAGATCACTGGTCCCCAGCTTGGACAGGCAGGGTTCTCCCATGTCTGCTGTCCCTGTAGTCCTTCAGGTAACTCTGAGGCTCTGGCATATCTACATCCTGGAGTGCCAGGACCTGGTCCTGACTGCAGGGCACATGGCTCTTAAGATGCAGAGAAGTCAGTCCACTAGTACCCATGGTGACAAAGGACAGACCCAGGCCAGTCCAAGGTAGCAAACTGACTGCATGGCCCATTGCTCTGGCCCCAAGAGAGGTGGTCATGGATGGTGGGCCAGGCCAAGCCTGAAAGGCAGGGGACTGGGCATTGTCCCCAACACTGACCCCCACACCCTACAGACAAAAGCCAGGAGTTGGGGACTCTTCCCTCTCAGGCCATGGTCTCCTGTACACAAGTGAACCCCAGGAGTAGACACAGGAGGATGCAGCAGCCATCCAGTGGAAGGGGCTGGGGCACAAATGGGGCATGGACATTGAACCTTCCCAAGACACCCACTTCCATACCCTGAAGCCACCCTGCACAGCCTGTGGGAGTCTCTGCAGGATATGCTAACCTGGGGTTAAACCCTGGAGGACCACATGCTGTAGAGGTATCTTTAGGCCTCCATGGTGGAGCCCCAGGTGGGCTCTAGCTAGAGGCCCCCTCCCTAGGTAGATGTGTCAGACCCACTAGCCCTGTCCCCACACTACTGCTTCCAGCAGGAACACTGGGCTTCTCCATCTGCCCTGTCCACCCTCAGGACCATAGCACGGGCCCACTGCACACCCCAGTGATGGGGCCAAAGACAGCCCTTTACAAGACAGCCCCTGCATCCAACCCCCTTGGGACACCATGACCAGCATGGCTCCAAAGAAGTCAGGGCAGCACTGGCAAACTGCCCCGCAGCCCCAGGCGGTGCCTCAGGAACCTCAGGTCCATGTGCACAGGGAAGCTGGACACTTGGCTGCTGCAGGGAAGGTTGAGTGTGGTGTCCCCCTGCCTGACTGCCCAGGAGCAGGCCCTGTGTCCTCATGCCTGTGGGACTGAGCCCCTTCATACCACACAAGTCCCAGACTAAGAGGGGTCAGCCAGCTTCAAACTAAACCCTTGAAGGGGAGGGGCACCAGGGATGCTGTAGGCCCCCAGCAGCCAAGATGAGGACAGAGTCTCCTGTGGCTATGACCAGAACTGGAATGTGGTCCAAGGCAGGGTAAGCCCTCTCAGAGCAGTGCACAGCTACCTGGGCCTGCATTAAGTCCCTCAAGCCCACACTGGTGACCTTATGTGGCTTGAGAACCATTCATCTCAGAGAGGGGCAGCTTCCACCCTCTCAAAGGGAGGCAGAGCATCCAGGTTCCAGGGCTGAGTGGTCATCTGGGTAGTGACAGGCACAGGCTGATGGCCACATGGACAGCACTGGAGCCCTACTTCCAGAGTATGAAAATCCCCATGCCAGGTCCCAGCACTGCAGGATGCTGAGCAGGCTGGGTTCCTTGCTCTGCTGACCTTAGGGCTGCATTTCAGAGACACCAAAATGCAAGAAATTGATCCCTAGTTAGAGCAAGAAGGCTCCCAGGTGAAGGCCAGAGCCTTACTCTGGACCCAGAATTCCCTAAAAAGGCCTCCCTCCTGGAGACAAAGGGTGCTCCCTTAGCCTCTAGGACTCCCAAGTTAGTGAAAGGACAATAAATTGCTTTTTGCTACAACCTGCCTGCTCTTGCAGTGCACAGACCTCTCTGCAGGAAGCTGGGCCAGACAGGAGGAAAGGGTGGCACAGCCCAGGCCACCCAGCAGGCCTCTTCAGCCTCCCCTCACAAAGACTACAGCAAAGCCAACAACCGGACACGGCTGAGGTTCCCAGGATCTCCTGTAAGGCCACAGGCACTGGGCCTCCCACCCCCAGTCAGAGGCCAGTCATGACCGTCAAATAATTTACTGTGACTCCACCTGCGCTTGACAGGGGCCCGGAGAGGGCTGGAAGGGGGTGGTCAAGGCTGGGGTGCCAGTGGCATTGGGGACAGTTCATGACAGTCTGTGCAAAGCATCCACATGAGGGTCCTGGTCACCTCTGTCCACCGTCCCTGGGCTGGCTGGGCTCCAGCAGCACTTCCTTCCTTCTTCCTTCCTTCCTTCTGCCTGCACCTCCTCCCCACATCCGGCATCTCCATGTCTTGAGCCTGAGCCTGAGCCTGGGTGGGCACAAAGGACACCACTGACTGTAGGGAGGGGAACTGGAAGGGTCGAGGGAGCCCAGGGACATCAGGGTAGACGTGGAGGCCCATCTGGCCACTGCCCCAGGAACTTGCCTGGCCCCCACCTTACCTGTTGTCAGGACAGCACACACTTGCAGCTCATGCAGCCTGGGCCACTCTCGTCAGGAGGGTTCAGCTTCCGGAGCTTATGCTGCCGAATTTCCCGCACCAGTGTGTAGAAGGCGTCCTCCACACCCTGGGAGTGAGGGACTGGTTCAGGAGGGGACCCCACCAGGGACCTGGCAGGGAAAGAGACCTGGGGACCTGGATGGGGGACTCCCTGCCTTGAACTCAGGCAATGTCCAGCCCTAAAGTCTCCCAGATGCAGCACCCCTTTATTAGCTCTCCCCCCCACACACACAAAAGGGGAGCTTGGCCCTGCTCACCTTGCCCTCAAGGCCACCCTCACCAGGCAAGCTCACCCTTAACGTGACCCTAAAGGTCAGAGTGGCCCAGAACCCTCTAAGACCCCTGATCTGGCTCGGGCTTGAGAGCTCAGGACTAAGAGATGCCCATGGGATGCTCTAAGGACAAATGGGGCTGGGCCCCAGGGTCACCGCTCCGGCCTGGCTCAGGGCAGCTCTCTCCATGGACCCCCACCTCCCCTGCAGCTGTGTCAGCCCAGGACTGCAGGGCATGAGCCCAGACCCTGACCCTCGCCTCCCTCAATGCCCTGCCGTCCAGGGAGACTTACAGCGTGGGGGCCGCTGGGTCACATGGGTCCCGGGAGGGTCCCAGAGGGTCCCGGAGCTGGAGCCAGAGCCAGAGCGGCTGCCCTGTGTTGAGGGAGAGGGGCGATGAGCGCAGATCCCTGGCTGGGGCGGGGCAAGGTGAGTCCCTGGCTAGCTGTGGGGTGGGGAACCGGCTCACCTGCCGGGTCTTGGCTGAAGTCTCGATATAAGGGATGCTGTAGCTTCGGGCAAGGTCCTGGGCCTGCCGAGACTCTACGGTGCGCGCAGCCAGGTCACACTTGTTCCCAACCAGCACCATTGGCACATCGTCCGAGTCCTTCACCCTCTTGATCTGCTCCCTAAGATGGGGGGAGGTGTGAGCCAGCTGGTGGGCTGCAGGCATGGCTGCATCCAGGACATGCAGAGAGGGTCCAGGAGGCCCCAGCCTATATACAGAGAACTTCCCTGCTCTACTTGTGCCATAGGTCTTGGATTGGCCATACAGGTGACTCACCTGTACTGATGGATGTCTTCGAAGGACTTGGTGTTGTTGATGGCAAACACACAGAGGAAGCCTTCCCCAGTGCGCATATACTGGTCCCGCATGGCACTGTACTCCTCCTGGCCTGCTGTGTCCAAGATGTCCAGCAGGCATGTCTCCCCATCAATGACCACCTGCTTCCGGTATGAGTCCTGCAAGAGGACATGGTTCAGGGGCCCCCACTTCTACTCACAAGGAGAGTTCACAGGGCCAGACCCCACCCTTGCACCTCCCATGCCCCTGGTGCCAAACCTCTACAGCAGGTAGGGCCAGGCCCAAGCCACCTGCACAGTAGGGGACCACAGCCAGCCCAGTGCTGTTTGTGTGGACACTCAGCTGCCCTGGGTCTGCAGGGGGCCGCTGCCGGGGCCCAGGCCAAGTGATCTGGGCTCACCTCTATGGTGGGGTCATACTCATCCACAAAGTGGTTCTGGATCAGCTGGATAGTTAGGGCACTTTTCCCCACGCCTCCAGCGCCCACCACCACAAGTTTATACTCCGTCATCGCTCCTCAAGGGGCTGCCACTTTGGGCACTTTGGGGGCTCCTGCCCCACCTGCCGAGGAAGACCATACTCAGTCAGGCCCTGCGCACATGAAGTTGCCTGGGGTAATCCGAGGACAGGCCCCTCCCCAGCATACAGTAGGCGGGCCAGGTAGGACACTGGCCCAGCCACTCACCTGTGGCACCTCCAGCCAGGGGATGGGAGCCCCTCCCTCCCTCAATCGCACTTAATGGCTTGTGAGGAAGCAGGGAGAGGCCCCCAAGGCAGGGCTGACAGCTGAGAGCTTCTCACAACCACGCACCCAAATTAGAAGTCGCTGGGTAGGCAGAAAGCCTCAACTGGAGGCGCCCAAGGGCTGAGGCCACCCCCCCACACACACCCCCAAAACAGGTCCTGCCACAGCGGCCTCAGCGTGCCCAGGCAGGCCGGTACCAGCCGACAGCCAGCCGGGCCCGCCGGCATGTTGGTGCATCCGACAACTATTTACTGAGCGCCTACTGCACGCCAGGCGCTGCCCCGGCGGCGGGGGAAGGGCAGAGAGAGACAGAGCCCCTGCCCTCCGCCGAGGCGGTCCTACCACAAGGGACCAGGGTCCTTCCGCCGGGAAGGTCCGCAGAAAAAGGACCCGGGGTTGGCGGGACGCAGGTGACTGCGGGGAGAGACCCACAGGAGGCGCAAGGGGTAGCTGGGGAGCAGAAGGCCCTGGCCGAGGCCCCAGCGCGAGTGTCCTTGCGGCCCCGAGGCCGGCCCGAGATGGCCGCGGGGCGCAGCGTCCCTGAAGGCCCGGGCGACGCCTCCCCCCAGCGCGCGGCCACAGGCGAGCGGACCCGGCCGCAGAGGAGGGCAACCGGGCACGAAGCACACCGCCGACCCGCCGCGCTCACCTGCGGCCCGCGCCCGCCCGCACGCTCTCACTCACCGCTCACTGGCGCGACTGCCCCCGGGGCCGGGGCCGGGGCGGGGCGGGCGCCGGCTGGGCCCGCGCATGGGCTCCGTCCGCGGCGGGTGCGGCTCAGGCTGCGGGCGCGGGGCGCGGGCCGCGGGGACTCGGCCGGGCCCGCGCTCGCCCCGCCCCACCCCGCCTCGCGCCCGTCCGTCAGCTCAGCGCGGCCGACCATTGGCCACGATATGCTGAGCACCGCCCCAGGGTCTCCTATTTGGCCCTAGGGCCACGCCCTATTGTGGTTGGCTGAGCTACCGGTCTGTCAGGAGCCGCAACCGGGCGGGACTTCCTGGAGCGGCGCGGAGGGGCGGTGTCCCGGCCTCATCCTGAGTTCCGCTTCGGACTCCAGCGTTGAGCGCAGTTCGAGGTTGCGGAAGAAAGCGAAGGAGCCGTTGCCGAAGAGCCTTCCGGGGAGAGGCCGGCACGCGCTCGGGCCAGTCGCCGGGGGCCGCTACGTAGTCCCCACCCCAGAGCCGCCCTCGGGCCCCCCTCAACCCTGGTCTTGAGGCTGGAGGAAAGTGGAGGGTCCGCCGGCACCCCCAAGCGACCCTGCGCCCCTCCCTGAGGACCTGGGCAGCTTCTGCGGGGACCCCGCGCGCCACGCAGCCCTGCCTGGCCTTGGAAAACGCCCCCCAACTTGGGCACATCTTCAGCTCCCCCAGACCCGAGATCCAGCCCTACAGCTTCTCGCATTGCGCCCCATTTGAAAAACTGCCCCTTAAGTCCAGCCCAAAAGTTGCAATGGGGGAAAGAAGTGAAGTCTCCAACCCAAGCACACACGGGCACTTCCTAGCTCTCGAGAGGCAAAAAGACATGTTTTTAACGTTTTTCAAAATTTCAAGGAAATGCATGACCGCCTCAAAAAACCGAGAGGGCCAAGCCTTGTATGCACATATGAATAATAAAACAATAAAAAATAAAATAAAATATAGATAGATAACTAATATTGTCATTCAAAAAAAACAAACCAAGAGGGCTTTATCGAGAGGTGGGTTCCAGCCTGCCCTCGTGCGATACGGGGTGAGGGCCAGGCTCGCGTAGACTCCACTATGAGGCAGATGACCAGGAGCGGATCCGCTCCAGGTCCCGGGGGCGCCTCGGCCCGCGAAGCACTCAGGAGCGGGCGGGGGGGACCCTCCCACCTGGACAGTACGTGCTGGTCGCCCGGCCCCTGCCGCGTGCCCGGCAACTGTTGCTAAGGGGCGGGGCTCAGCCTGCCCAGCCTGGGATGCCCGCGACTTACGAATATTTGGGTTATTCAAATGAGGCCCCGCCCCCGTTGCCATGGCGCCCGGCTCGCAACCCCGCGGCCGGAAAGAGCCGGAAGTCAGAGAGAGCGCCCGCAGCGGCGGAGGGGCCCAGGGCTGCGCCCCAGGGCCGGGGCACCAGGGCCCACCTCTCAGGTGAGAGCTGAGCTCAGCCTCCCCGTGTCCCTCGTGCTAGAGGAAGCTGGGCAGAGGAGTGGGCGACAAATAGGCAGCCAAGCCAGTGGGGGTGAGCAGAAGACCCAGCCATGGTCCCAGATGTCAAATGTGGCCCCTTCGCCACACTGCCACCGACCCCTGAACCTGCTTGGGGCGGGTCCCCCGTCACTGACATGAGCATCAAGCCTTGCCCATGGAGGAGAGACAGGCAGGGACCTATTCTTTCCTGGGGGGTTCCAAGCCCTGCCTTCAGAGCCCCTCATATAGTTGGGGGGCCAAGTTGTTAAGGAGACCCAGAAGATGAAGGAGCCAGAGACTGGAGGTAGCCTGGAATGTGGAGACAGGTCCCCCAGGTTCCCTACTTGGGTGCATTGGTTAGTTTTCAAAGTAGCAGGGCAGGGTGAGCTCAGGGTCATGACAGATGGGGCAGGTTTCAGACCCAGTGCATGAGTTTGGGAGACAGTGTCTGTGCTGGGAGTCTAATAGCGATTTGAAGTTCACAGCCTTGAATCCCAAGGCCTTTTGGCTCACACCTTGTGGCCTGGCCATGGACAGGACCCTGGGCAGCCGCGTCAGGCATAGAGACAGCAGGTCACCCTGGCTGGCTCACACTCTCCCCGGGCCTGGGGCTGGCAGACCTTGCTGGAGGTGGTAGCATCTTCACAGGGGGTACAGTGGGGGATCCTCCTGGGAGGCTGGGACCTTGCTAGGACTGGAGAAAGGCAGAGGGCAGGGGAGATTCTGGCTAGAAACTATGTGCCTCTTCTTTGGGCTTCAGTGTATGGGTCACTTGCAGTGAGAGCCACTGAGGCCCACAGAGCCTGTGGGCCTCAGCTTGTCCCAAGGATAAGCATACCCTCCCACTGCTTCTGTCAAAGCCCAAATGACCACTCACCTGGCCTGAGATCCACTCTGCAGACATGAGCACAGCATGAAGCTTGAATTTCACAGAAATTTAAGAGATAAAAACATGGCCTACCAGGTACTGGTGGCTCATGCCTGTATTCCTAGCTACTTGTGAGGCTGAGATAGGAAGGATTGTGATTTGAGGCCAGCCTGGCCATCTCGAAAATAACGAGGATGGAAATAGACTGGAGGCATGGTTTGAGCAGTAGAGTGCCTGCTCTGCAAGTGTGAAGCCCTGAAATTCCAACCCTCAGTCCCACCTAAAAAACAAAACAAAAACAAAAAAAACAAGCCATGGCTAAAACATTCTAAGTCTATCATTGTTCAGCAATTCCTTCTGCAGGCATTTTTAGTGTCCTCTCCTGTGCCCTGTGGACAGAGCCAGCAAGTGTCCTTCCCACATGGAACCCATATCTTGTAGGGCAACGAAATAACTGTGAAAGAGGTGTGGAAGGGCATCTGTCTATTCAGAGAAATAAATCTGGGAAGGGTGGGTAGGATGCAGGAATGAGGGGTCAGTCAAAGCCTGGATGGAGCTAGGTGCTGGTAGCTCACACCTGTAGTCCTAGCTACTCAGGAGGCACAGATCAGGAGGATCGAGGTTTGAAGCCAGCCAAGGAGGCTCAGCTGGTAAGCCTGATGCAGGTAGGGGCACTCAGGACAAGATTCTCCGGAGGCCTGCAGAGAGGCTCTGAGGAACAGGGTGCAGGAGAGGCCAGTCTGCAGGAGATGGCTCAGAGCCGCAGACCGTGACCCCCTTCAGGGATAGATGTGGGAATTTGGATGAGATGTAACTCCTCGTTTGCATTAGAGGACATGGAGAGACCTCTGGGCCACCACCTGGATCTGTCTTTCTTCTTGTCAGCTGGACCAGGTCAGAATGGTCAAAGGGAACTCAGGCCCAGGCCCCAGGCTGACCACCACCACCCCCATACCTGCTTGTTTCTAGATGCTCTGACTTTGGCCAACCCAGCCCAGGTGTCACTGGGCACAGTGACCTGGCCAAGAAGCTAAAACATCTCTCTCTTGCAGGTGTCACCTGTGGACATATGCTGCCCCCTTGCCCGAATGTTTGATCCACAGCAGGAGGCAGCTACCTGCAGGTGGGGGCTCAGCCAGTGCTGGAGAGGGTGGAAGGAATATCAGAGACCCTGGTCCTCGATCCAGGCTCAGAGTACATCGGGTGGGGAAGAACCCAAAGCCTAGGGCAGCCCAGGAAGCCTGTCAGCAGTAGCTTGCTGCTGGTCACTGCAGGTGTCTAGTCCAGCAACCCTAGGCACACATCCTTCACGGGGCCCCAGATGGCAAGGCCTGGAGCCAGCACTCAATGTGTAGACACTGAAGGAAACAAAGACAGAAACAAAGGAAGGGCATCAACCCAGGCAGGAGGCTTGAGCCAAGGTTAGGGAAGGGAACTCAGGCTGTCCAAGCAGGCCCACAAGGACCCTAAGGCCAAGCCAGGCTGAGAGTCCTGCTGTGTGCCAGGTCCTGTCAGGATTGTACAGGAGTTTCTGCTGGCTGCAGATGTGAGCTGGAGCAGAAGTAGGAGGCCCTACCTTCTTCCTCTCCTGGCAGGTTGGATGTGGATGGACCCAGCCTGGGGTGGATCCCAGAGGCCTCAGCCAGGCACAGCCAGTGTCCGGGTCCGGGAGCTGAGCTGGCAGGGTCAACACAATCCCTCCCCGAACAGCAAGGGCCTGGGCTGCTGTGGCAGCATCCGAAGGGAGCGGCTGGTGGAGGAACATCTGTCCCCTGCCCGGCTGGTAAGTGTTGGACTCAGGGGCTCTTTGTGGACTGATGTTCTGTGCCCCCTTATTGCTGACGTCCAGCCTGCCCTCAGCCCAGCTCCCACAGCTAGATGCCCTCTATCTTTCCACCCTTGTGGGCCCTATGACACCCCAAAGCACCAGCTACCCCAGGTGACACAGGCAGTGGGGGTCAAAGCTAGGACTGAGTCGGGCTGGGATTCCAAATGCACTTGCTAAGACCACTGTCCTCAGACAAAGAGAAAGCCACTTGCTCAAGCAGCTGATGTCCTGCTGGGGAGACAGGGCAGAACTCTGCAGCACATGCACTGCACAGAGATTCAAAGTGCCAGGGAACAGGAACGCCCCTCAAGACAAGAGCCCTGGTCCCGGGCTTGAGCCCCCCATGGGAATGCTTACCCTGGGAGTCTGGGGATGGCTTAAGGCCCTCCTCCCTGAGCCATGGCTCCTCTACCCCCTCTTAGCTCACTGGGCCCTCAGGCTGTGGTGGGGGCCATCTGTATCTGGGCAGCAGGTGAAGGATTTCCTCAAAATCTGGCTTGGGAGCTCACTGTTGTACCCCGACCCTGAGGCCCAGAAGATTCCACAGAGCCCACCTGCAGCTCCTAGTATCTGGGCCTTATCACCCACCCACCATTGGCTTCCCTAGGGGGAGAGGACCTGTTCAGAAGCAAGTCCAGGCCCTCCCTCAGAATGACCTACCCAGCCAATCCAAAACCCACACACACTCGCCACGGTTCCTGATAATCCCACAACAGGTGGCACTCAGGGTCCTGGGAGACAACACTTGCATTTCACACATGTCCAGGAGATCCAGGACAGCAGATGGACCAGCAAGGCTCCCACCCCGAGGCTTACAGCATGTGTGTGCTTGTTGTTGGTTTTTTTAATTTATTGAACTCAGGGCCTCCTGTTTGCTAGGCAGGCACTCTACCACTTGAGTGACTTTGTGTGCTTGTTGTCCAAGGGTCTCAGGTAGACTGTGGGAGACGCTACTCAGCAGGGTGGGCTCTGGTCTCCAGCTGTGTTGTTGGGTCTGTTTCAAAGGTCTCATCTTGAGACCAGCACCCTGAGGGCAGTGCCCCCAGCCAAGCCATTATGACCGAGGACAGCATGAATAAGCCGGAGACCCCTGTCACCTGCTCCAGTGGGTGTCTTGCATCCAGGAACAGGGAGGAAACTGGGAGGGAGTGACGCCCTGTTGATTTCTGCAGCAGGCCCTGGCCAAGGTCGAAGACCTCCGACTGGTGCGGGTGCTGGAGATGTGTGTGGACACCCGTGAGAACAGCCTGGGGAATTTCGGTGAGAGCTGACTGGCTACACCCAGCCCAGGCCCCTGATATTGTCAAGGCTAGACATTTCCATTAAACAACTGTGTCTTTCTAGTTGTAAAAGCCAAGCCAGCAAACCTTGGACAAGATGTCTCTTTTCTTAGTGTTGACCGCCAGAACTGAGATATGTACCTGGGTCAGGCAGAGGTTTTAGCCCATGGCTCATATTTCCAAACTGCCCAGCCCCCCCCACCACCACCAAATGACTATGTCTAAACACCCACACCAGTATTGCAAAGTAGCCAAGGGTTAAAATGGGGCCCTGTGTGACACTGCATCCCAGTATTGGGAGCTCCCAAAACTTATTTTGAAATAATTTGTAATTTATGGACACACTGCAGAAATGGTACAAAGACCCCTGATTCCCCATCCTGCATTGCCATCTCACAATTGCCCATCTGCAATTGCCACATGGTTCTCTCTCTCTTTCTCTCTCTCTCTCTCTCTCTCTCTCTCTCACACACACACACACTCTGTGGATGTGACATCCTATGTCTATCAATACCTCAGTGCATATTTCCTAAGGTGGATGTTCTCTTAAATACAGTGCAATGATCAAAATCAGGAAATTGCACTGATACAGGGTGTTGTCTGTGCCACAGACCTATTCAGATTTCACCAGCTGACCCAACAGGAAAGATTCTTGATGTCTATAATCCTTGTGGATTTTGTTTGCATTTCCCTGATTCCAAGGGAGGTTGAGCCTGACCCATCTTGGTTGGTCTTGGTTTTCTGTTTGGCAATCACCTGCTAAGTCCCTGACAGCTCAGTGTAGCCACTCTGTGCACCTATGGTGGCTATTGCCCCACAGGTCCACCCTGTGCTCCTCTTCCCATGATTCAGGGACTCTGTCTTACCCTATCCTAAGAAGCACTCAAAATGTGGGCCTTCCCCTGACTGGGCTGTGCTGGACCCTGGTGGGGCAGCCCTGAGATTTGGTGTTCAGTGCTGCATGCTGACACAGACTGCCATGGGGGCCTGGGGGCCCATGGGCCAATGAGGGCAGGCAGTCGGGGGTTTATCCCATGCTCCCCAGATCAAGTCATGGAGCTCAGTGGCCTCATGGTCCTCCAGGGACAGCCTGTGCAGCCCTACCCCAAGGCCACCTTCTCATCTGCATCATTTGGGGGAGACTGCACAGAGGGAAGGTCATGTACCCCTGATGTGGAGAAAAAGTGGGAGGTTCAGGTAGGCCACAGAGGGCATCTGACCAGAGGTGCCCATGGGCTGAGTGCAGCCCTTCATGGACTGCCTGTCCTTCTTGCTGTGGAAACAGCTGGTGGGCAGCACCATCCCCTTGGTGTGGAGGGACGCTTCTATCCACAGGCTGGCAGGAGCAGTGGACCACTGTTTCATTGTTGGGGGGGCAGGTGTGAGGGTGCAGAAAGGTATGCAGGGGCATAGGGTGAGCTAACCTCTCCCTCCTGTGGTCCATAGCTGTGCATCTCCCAAACCTGAACCAACTGAAGCTGAATGGCAGCCGCCTGGGCTCAATCAGGTGAGTACCTGGCCTTACCTAGGGAGGGCAGGGCTGGAGTTGTCTAAAGGGGCTGGGACTGGGACGAGGCTTGTAGACCTGGAGCTAAGCTCACTGCTGGCTGGCTGTCCCTGAAGTCTGGCCCCACCCTGCTGACAGCGGGAGGGACATTCACTCGGTATGAGTTCCCTCCTGGATGGCAGTGGGGTCCCTTCTGGGGGATCCCTATGGAGAGGATGAGGCTATGCTCTGGGGCAGACTGGTTCCCAAGAGTCCTGTCCCTGGGGTGTCATAGGGCCTCTAGCTCCCAGCTCTAACACCTTCCTCCTGGGGTCTGACTGTGTACACTTAGCTCTTCAAACCCCTATGGGGAAGGGGTGAGGAACTGCTGCATGTAGGGGATATATGAACCGAGGGCTGTCACACCAGGTCCTGTGGCTTGTGAGCCCCAAAAGTCCTCATTGGTCTCTGGCCAAGTGAGGGGTTTCTGGTAGACACCCCCAAACCAACAAAGGCTCATGGGGTCCCTTCACCTCTTGATGCACCCAGGGCATCCATGGTGCCATGAGAGCTGGGAGCTGGAGGGAGGTGGCTACTGACCCCTCGAGAAGGGCAGGTGGGTGTGACCTCCAGCCTGACCATCCCTGTAAGCCGGACCTCACACCAGAGCAACCTATGCATCTGAACCAGGGGCTCCCTGTTGAGAAAGCTCGGGGCTCTCTCCCAAAGCTTCTTCATAGTTAGCTTTCATGAGATTGGAAAGAACAAAACCTAGAGAACAGCAGACTTTTTCCGGGGAGGTTTGAGCCAAGGGGGTTTTGAGGGAACACTGCTGGTTTTATGTGGCCCAAGCCTGGCAGTGTAAGACACAGGAATTCCATTCAGAATTCTAGAAAGTTCTCCAGCTGTTTGAATTGGACTCCAAGTGTCATACCCAGTTATTTCCAGGTGAGGTGATAAAAGTATTTATTATGCAACTTCACATTAAAGAGTTTCTTGATTTTCCTTATTTGTACTGCTGTTTGTCAAGTAAAAATCAAGCAGAATTCAACAAAACACTAAAGACTAAGAAATGGAAATAAAACAGTTGGAAGCTGTTGTCCTATCAGTAGCATCCCCGTCCCACCTCCCCAGCAGAACAGAGGAGCAGGGAGCCATAACTAGGAGGGGCATGGGACAACCTCCTCGCGGTGCACCTCCACACAGGACCCTACAGGTTCTAGCAGAGAAGTCTGCACCGTCCAGACCAACAAGGGAGCTCAAACAGCAATAAAGTATGTGAAAAGCGTGTACATTTAAATAAAGGACAAAAAAACTATAAAAGAGAAGCAAAAGGTATTATAAAACCAAGAAATAAGAAGTATGATATATAATAAGAAAACAAAACCATTCCGAAGGAAAATGGTCAGATCACAAATTTTTGAAAACACTCAGTTGTTTGATAGCAGCAGTGCAAAGTACGGTGAACCTTTGATTTCGCTCCATTATCAAGTACTGAACCTTGGTCAAATGGTGCCTGCTGACCTCCAAAGGCTGAAAATGAACAAAAACTTGTAAAAGGAGCTATCTGGTTAAACGGGATGACCCATAAACTTCTATTGTAAGTTAGCTGGCCACAGAGACACCGAGTGTGTTAAAATCTCAGGCAGTACCGTAAGGGCTGGGAAATAATTTTAATGTGGAGACTGTGAGTTCATCAGAAGCAAGGATCTTCTGCCCTGGAAATGACCAGTGATGCGAAGACAAGTGTTCTCAACGCGTGGGCGGTTGCCAAAGATCAGTGTGCCTCCCTCAGTAGTACCATGTGCAAAGCCACTCGCAGGCTCTGAAGCTCCCCAGGGAATTTGGAAACGGTTAAAAACAGCTGAGTGGACAAGTTTCGTGACCTTAGCTACTTGCGATTCTCTCCTTGCTGGGGATGTCTGGCCTCACTTTGTGTATCCTGTGCTAATTCTCAGGGTGGATTCTATCCTTTTCTTGTTGATTTCTGGGCATTCTTTTTATATTTTGGGTGCATTTAGACTTTCAAGACTCCTGCCTCATGGTGCCCTCCTCCTAAGCAAATGGTTTGCGTGGATTTGTCCCATCTGCCAACTCCAGCCTGTGCTTTGCATGTTATTTGGGAAGTTTGTCTACACGGCAGGCCACTTTTCTTCTACCTGCTTCTTCTACCTGTCTCACTCTTAACTCTGCAGGCTTTCAACCCAGCTTTCCTGCAAAGGTCTCTGGTTGTGGCAGGAGGCTGGGACCCAGCTTTTTTTCTGCTGTACAACCAATCTGTTTTCCTGTTGTCTGCCAAGCAATTTCCTATGGACTGTAGTCCCATCTGTCATTCGTCAGGGCTACAGCATCTGTGAACATGTCAGGAACTCTGTTTCATTGGCTGGTCTACTTGCACACTGACACCATGCATCTGTCTGTGTGTCTTCACAACACAGGTTAAACCCTGCAGAGTCTGCAGTCCTTTTTCCACACTGACTTCCCTAGTACTGAAAGCTTAGTCATTCTTGCACTTGAATTTTACAATTACATACACATGCACACTTTTCTGGAATTTTTATTGGCATTTAAAAGCATTTATATACTAATTTGGGTTTACTTGTCAGCTCACGTACATGCACTGATGCACTGATGTAATCTTTCCATTCATATGTGCGTGTGTGTATTTAGGGGCAGGACTGGGATTTGAACTCATGACCTTGTGCTTGCTAGGCAGGTGCTCTGTCACTTGAGCCACACCCCCAGCCGACAATCCTCCTCTCAGATTACTGGAGTTATAGATGCATACCACCACACCCAGTTTATTGGTTCTTTTGCTGAGACTGAGGTTTGAACTCAGGGCTTCACACTTGCAAAGCAGGCATTCTGCCACTTGAGCCACACCTCCAGTCCATTTTACTTTGGTTATTTTGGAAATGGGGTCTCCTGAACTGTTTGCTCAGGCTGGGCTCAAACCACAATCCTGTGGATCTCAGCCTCCCAAGTAGCTGGGATTACAGTGCCCAGCCTGACTTTTTTTTTTTTTTTGGTGTGCCAGGATTTGAACTCAGGGCCCACATCTTGAGCCACTCCACCAGCCCTTTTTTTGTGATGGGTTTTTTTTGAGAAATAGCAGAACTATTTGCCCAGGCTGGCTTCGAATGGCTATCCTCCTGATCTCTACCTCTTGAGTAGCTAGGATTATAGGCATGAGCCATTAGTGCCTGGCTGTTTTTATATTTTTAGTAGTTTTTAAGCCTCCTCTATACAGTTTACCTGTTAGGGTGTTCTCAGCTTCAGGTGACATCAGACAATGTCAAATTGGCCTAAATTAGGAGAAGCTGCTCATTCCTCAGGGCCTATTCCAGACCCAGACCTGAGGACACTTCAGCAGATGGACACCAGCTCCTGTCTTCTCTGTGAGGAAGCTGGGATGGGGGGTCCTTCCGGGGTTTGTTCAGTCTCATAGCCAAAGGCCTGGGGCTCCCATATGAGAGAAATGACCTTTGTCACTGTGCTTGTCTCCTCACAGGGCAAGTGGCCTCTGCAGCCACCATGGTCTTAGCACTGGAGGACTAGGAGAGCATATCCACTTTCCAGATGCCGTAACAAAAGACCACAAACTGGGAGGCTTAAACAGCAGACGTTTATCTCTCACATTCCTGAGGCTGGAAGCCGGAGGCTTGGGGTGGGCAGGCTGTCCTTCCAAGGCTTTGAGGGGAATCTGTCCAGGCCTCTCCCCGCTTCTGTGTTGCTGGTGATCCTTAGTGATCCTGGTGTTACAGAAACATCACCCAAGCCTCCGCCTCCATCTTCATGGTGTCTTCCCTATGTGTGTCTCTGCTAACTCCTTCCTTGTCCTTGCTGGGTCCCACCCTATTCCCATATGATCTCATCTCAAACAATCATAGCTGCAATGGCCTTGTCACAATCCTAGGTGCTGGGGATCAGGATTTCAACCTGTGACCTGGGGACACCTTCACTCACGAGAGGGGACGCACCCTCCTCAAGTCCCCTGGGAAGAGCAGGCAGTGTCCCCAGAGTCCTTCCTCACACCCTCTAGTAAGAGCTGGGCCACACCACTAGTGAGGGATGGGATTACAACCCGAGTGGACCCACCAGATCCCCTGCCCACCCCACTGCCATGGGACCAGGTGACACCAGCCTCCTCAGAAGCAGTGATTCCCTGAACCAGAACCACATAGGCCCCACCACTGCTCAGAGTGGTGGTCATGAGGAAGGTCTCAGTTCTGTTGTATTTTTTGGTCAATTATTGCAAACTTAGAGCAATGCTATATTAATTTAGAAAAACTTTCACAGACCAGTAAAAACACTACAGTTTTCCTGAGTGGGTCTACTGTCTTCTTGAGTGGGTCTGCCTTGTCTTTGCTGCATGTCTGATGGGCTGTTGAGCATCGTGTTCATGCACTGGGTTAGTTTAGCTGGGTTCTATGTCCACAGCCATGTTATCAGCAGATCGTGACTGTGTCGCCACCTCACCTCCAATCCTTATGCTTTTCTCATCACACTGACCAGCATCTGCCAGCAGGCACTGCTTCCTCGTGAGCTCCGCGGGCATGAGTTCTGTTTGCCTGTCCTCAAGGATGATGCTTGTTAGCTAGCCTCACACCTGTAATCCTAGCTACTCTGGAGGCAGAGATCAGAAGGATCCCAGTTAGAAGCCAGCCCGGGCAATAGTTAATGAAACCCTATCTAGAAAATACCCAACAGACACACACACACACACACAAAAGGGGGCTGGTGAAGTAGCTCAAGGTGTAGGCCCAGAGTTCAAACCCCAGCACTGAAAAACAAAAAGGATAATGCCTGCTGCAGGCCCACATCTGTTACTGAGATCCTAACAGCTTTTCTCCTTTAATGTACCAATGGAACAAACTCCCTCGACAGATTTTGAAGTGTAGGTCATCCTTGCATCCTGATGACAACACTACTGGATGGAAATGAGTCCTTTTAAAATCACTGTGATGTTAAAATAACACTGACTTAGCAGTTTCACATCTATTTCCACAAACACAGCCCTTTGATTTGCTAGTATTATACTTATCTGGTTCTGGAATCAAGAGTTGACTCATAAAGAAGCTCTTTTTCAATTGCCCTAGTCTTTGAAACTTCTGTATAAGAAATTATTGTAGGAGATCCAGCCCAGGGTAGTTAAAACATACTTTTTAAACTGGGTTCTGATCTGGGGAGTCCTAAAGGCCTTTCAGTCAAGCCAAGTTTTCTGTCTCTGTCAGTGCCAGCCATGCCAAGGTTCCCAAGCTTTGTTCAACATGATCTTTTGATAGTTTTCACTGCCACTATGCCATCTCCACGTTTGCATCATTGCACTCTTTATCCTTGATCAGTCTTATGAGGAGACTCAGCTCTGAATTCTGTTAATCTTCTGATCCTTCTGGTTGTCACTGATTCACCCTAACCTTGAGCACACCCTTCCTTCTGGGGGGTGGAGGGGAGGTGCTTTTCTAGCTCCTTGAACAGAGTGCTCAGCTCCATTATTTTAATTCTTCTTGCCCAAGCTGACCTCAACTTCTGTGTTCAAGTGATCCTCCTGCTTCAGCCTCCTGAGTAGTTCTGGACTACAGGTGTATGCTACCACACCAGGCTATTCTAGCTTTTTTTTTTTTTTCTTTTTGCGGTACTGGGGCTTGAACTCAGGGCCTTCACCTTGAGCCACTCCACCAGCCCTATTTTTGTGAAGGGTTTTTCAAGATAGGGTCTCATGGAACTATTTGCCTGGGCTGGCTTCGAACCACGATCCTCCTGATATCTGCCTCCTGAGTAGTTAGGATTACAGGTGTGAACCACCAGTGCCTGGCCTATTCTAGCTTTTTGATAAATTCATTTATAGATCTACCCATGTCTTGTCTCACATCTCTTTTCTCCTCCTCCTCCTCCTCCTCCTCCTCCTTCTTCTTCTTCTTCTCTCTCTCTCTCTCTCTCTCTCTCTCTCTCTTTTTGTTTCATTTGCTTCTTAAGACAGTGTCTCCCTGTATAGTCCAGGCTGGCCTTCAAACTCACAATCTTCAGCCATGCACCAGTGGCTCATGCCTGTAATCCTAGCTACTCGGGGCAGAGATCAGGAGGATCTCAATTGGAAGCCTGCTCAGGCAAATCATTCAAGAGACCCTATCTTGGAAAAAAAAATCACAAAAAAAGGGCTGGTGGAGTGTCTCAAGGTGTAAGCCCTGAGTTCAAGCCCCAGAATTGAAAAAAACAAAAAAAAAAAAAACACCTCACAATCTTCCTACCTCTCAGCTTCCCAAATGCTGGGATTACAGGTGTGTCTAAAACCTAGATTTTCCTTCATGTACAGCTTTACACAGGATTCCACAAATGGTATATGCTTTTTTTGTCATTAGTTCTAGAATTTCTTAATTTTCCTATTAATTTCCTATTTACTCCAAGCTATAGAAAAGTCTAATTATTCCTGAGAGTTACTTCCTCTATAACAACTAGAATCCCTATTTTCAGCTGGGCATGTGGCACCCAAAAGTAACAGGTTTCCTGACTCCCTTGTAGCTAAACCCTGTCATGTGACTCTGCTCTGAGCCACAAGCTACAAGAGGAAAGATGTGGACAAGCTCTGAAAAGAGAGGGAGTAAAACAACACCAGAGGACAGAAGACATATGGCTCATGCATGTAATCATAGCTACCTGGGAAGGAGGTGGGGTCCAGAGGACTGCAGTTCAATGAGAGCCTGGGCCAAAAGTCAAGGCAAGTGGTACACACCTGTAATCACAATTACGTGGGAAGCATAACGAGAAGAATTGAGGTCTAGGCTCAAGTGGCAGAGCACCTGCCTAGCAAGCACAAGGCCCTGAGTTTAAAACCCTAGTACTACCAAAAAAAGAACAAAGTCAGTTGTCCACAAATAGAGTTTAAAAGAATCACAGAGATGGAGGGAGATAGAGGAGGACTAATTTGTGCATTGGAATTTGTAATTGGACTCTCCACAGAAGTAAACTGAAATAGTAGAACAGAAAGAAAAATGTAAAGATTGAAGGAAGCTGGGCGCTTGTGGCTCATGCCTGTAATCCTAGCTACTTGGTAGGCTGAGATCAGGAGGATCAAGTTTCGAGGCCAGCCTGGAAAAATAGTTTGGAAGACCCCATCTCCAAAATAACCAGAGCTGCCAGGCACTGTTACTTCACATCTTTAATCCCAGATACTCAGGAGACAGAAATCAGGAGGATCGTTGTTTGAAGCCAGCCCAGGCAAATAGTTCATGAGACCCTATATTGAAAAAAAAAAGCATCAAAAAAAATGGCTGGTGGAATGGCTCAAGGTGTAGAACCTAAGTTTAAACACCAGTACTGAAAAAAAAAAAATATATATATATATATACATATGTATATAATAACCAGAGCATAATGGACTGGAGGTGTGGCTCAATTTGTAGAGTGCCTGATTTGCAAGCATGAAGCTCAAAGTTCAAACTCCAGTCCCACCAAAAATAAATAAATAAATAAATAGAAATAAAATTAAAGGAAACTTATCAGAAATAAAAGAAGCCTTTCATGTACAGATGGAAAGGAAGAAGTGAAGGTGAACCTCAGTACTGAAACGCACCTGACTTCCAGGTGAAGGCAAAGATTTGGGTTGCCAAGAGATCATGTTGTGTTTGTAAGAAAGAAAAGTGCAGCGTTCCTCAAATTTCTCCACTGAAACACTTGAACCCTGAAGAGAGCAGGGCAGTGCCCTTGCCCCCGTGGGAAGACAGTATGACCAAGACCGTCACCTCCGGCCTAACAGCCACACAATCAGAGGCAGCAAACATCTGTGAGTGGGAACAGAGGAAGTCTCTGGAATCTCTGTGAGCCCTGCAGAAGTATCCACTAGACACAATTTCCAGCCAGGGAAAGGGAAAAGCCATTTAAGGCAATAGACTGGATAAGCACTGAATCTTTGAAACTGAAAGACAAAGACTAAAGCAAACACGGAGATTAGGGCAGTAGCAGAAAACTTAAAAACCCTCCAGATGGGCTGCAGGGAGCAGAAGACATAATTGAAGGGGAGTCATGAGCTGGAGGTACTGCTGAAGAAATCCCCTCTCTGTGAAGTCATGGTTACTCAGAATCTTAGATGAAGGAAGTTTGCATGAGGAGGAAGGGAACAGCCCAGTGCTACAGGATCTGCAGGAAGAGCCTCCTGGTAGGGAAAAGGGCAGAAGCAAGTTCTCAGGCATGGACATTTATGGTGGGCTGCAGGAATGCATGGAGACTCTCTGGCTGCAGCAGAGATGGATAGGGAGAGACAGCTCCGGAGAGCTGGGAGGGCTGGGCCAAGCCACCCAAGTTGAAGGTTGCTCCCCTGGGCCAGACCTGCAGGTTCTCCCAGGGCTGGAGAAAGTAGAGGACCACCATACCCAAGACCAGGAGACTGCAGTAAAGAGGGAAAGGGGTGTGTGGGGGAGGTCTCTGGAGCCCCCTCCTCAGCTGGAAGTTGCTATAAGCCAGTCACAACCATCTCAGAACCTGTAGCTAGGTATCATGGGTGATGGCTTGACACCAGGCCTCCCCTGGCCAAAGACAGGGCTCTCCACCCGAGGACAGCACTGACCACCCCAACCGCCTTTTGCAGAGACCTGGGCACCTCTCTGGGCCGCCTGCAGGTGCTGTGGCTGGCTCGCTGTGGCCTGACTGACCTGGATGGCATCAGCTCCTTCCCAGCGCTGAAGGTGGGTCTGTAGCACCAGGAATAGGGAAGGGGGACTAGATCAGACCCTGGCTGAAATACCCATGTGGTCCTCCCTAGGAACTCTATGTCTCCTACAACAATATCTCAGACCTGAGCTCTCTGTGCCTGCTAGAGCAACTGGAAGTACTGGACCTTGAGGGCAACTGTGTGGATGACCTGGGTCAGGTGCGGTACCTGCAGCTGTGCCCACGGCTGGTCACGCTAACGCTGGAGGGCAACCTGGTGTGTCTGCGGCCGGCCCCCGGCCCTTCCAACAAGGTGTGGGTGCTGTGGGTCTCAGCCAGCATGTGCTCAGGAGGGGTACCCATAGGCCAGGGACCTATCCACATATTCCCCATGGCTTGTTCTCTATTGCTGGAAGCCTGGAAGCATGCTCTGAGCCAGAGCCCTAAGTTCAGGGCAGCTCCATGGTCCAGAGGAAACCCAGGACTCTGGCTACAGGTCTAGAGAGTAAAGTCACACATCCTGAGTGAGGGAAAGCCCAGTCCCTGCAGTCCACCTGATGGAACAGCATTATGACCCCTGGCTCCTCTGCCCTGTCCCATGGCGGTCTGCAGGAGGGAGCCTCAGGACACAGCTGGCCTAAAAGGCCCACTGGACCCGGGTCTACTGTCCCTCTTCCTCTACCTTGCAGGCACTCCAGGGCTACAACTACAGGGCAGAAGTAAGAAAGCTCATCCCCCAGCTGCACACCCTAGATGAGGTGCCTGCCACACGCACTGACCTGCCCCACTCCCGGAAGCTAAGCCAGGACTGGCTCATGGTGAAGGAGGCCATCAAGGAGAGCAGCCTGCTGGACAGCCTCCTTCCCCGGTTGGGTAGGATGGACACTTCTTACAGACTTTGCCACTGTACCCACCCCCCCAACTTAGAAGAGACCTCCACTGCCCTCTAGGACAGGCCTGCACCAGTTCCTCAGAACAGGCTCCCACCAGCCCCCCTAGGACAGGCCTCTACTGCCCCTAAAACAGGTCTTCACCAGTCCCCAGGCCTCTTAGAGATGGGAGAATGTATGTCACACCCACACCCAGCATTATCTCCTGGTACTAGTGGGCAGTACTAGTGGGTTCCCCATTTGTGTGCAAAGGAAGGGGAGGATCTGAGGCTGAGGCTTTCCCTGAAAGGAAAAGGACCTCAGAGGCAAACTTCAGGTCATACAACTTCTTGAGTGATAGGGCTATGTTCTGTGGTCAGAGACTAGAGCTGGCCAACTGGCATGGGCTGTGGTGACCTCTGATTCTGACCCTGGGCAGATCATTCCCACGGAGCCACTATGCGAAAACTTGACCCAGTGCTATCCTTGCCTGAGACCCAGCCCGGGTCTCTTTCCCTACTGGTCCCTGGGGGACGCCTGCCTGAAGGCCTGCTTCCTGAGGATCCAGTCCCAGAAGACCATGCCAGCAACCTCACCCATGGTAACTGACCCCCTGGCTAGAGCTGACCCTGATGCACCTTAATACCAGACCGAGCCCAGACACATCCTCTTCTTCAGGTGCTGGGCAAGTCCTCTGTGGGAATCCCACAAAAGGCCTGTGGGAGCGTAGACACCAGTGCCAGGTACACCCTCCCTACACCCCAAGGTGAGCCAGGACTCCAGCCTCCCACAGTGGACCATGACCCAGAGCCCCTCCGCCGCAGTGGACCATCACCCAGAGCCCCTCCCCCACAGTGGTCTATCACCCAAAGTCCCTTCCCCCACAGTGGGCCATCACCCAGAGCCCCTCCCCCACAGTGGACCATCACCCAAAGTCCCTTCCCCCACAGTGGACCCATCACCCAGAGCCCCTCCCCCACAGTGGTCTATCACCCAAAGTCCCTTCCCCCACAGTGGGCCATCACCCAGAGCCCCTCTCCTCCCCCACAGTGGACATTCACCCAGAGCCCCTCTCCTCCCCCACAGTGGACCATCACCCAGAGCCCCTCTCCTCCCCCACAGTGGACCATCACCCAGAGCCCCTCTCCTCCCCCACAGTGGACGTTCACCCAGAGCCCCTCTCCTCCCCCACAGTGGACGTTCACCCAGAGCCCCTCTCCTCCCCCACAGTGGACCATCACCCAGAGCCCCTCTCCTCCCCCACAGTGGACATTCACCCAGAGCCCCAAACTCCAAGTAGACTAAATCAATATTCTGCCCTGCAGCCACTCTGGGCCAGAGCTTGAGGAAAACAGCCCGTTTCCACCCCAGGCATGGGCACAAGCACGAAGCAGATGACCCCACACAGGCCAGATTTGGCCACCTGTCCCTCCACTCCAGTGTCTGACCCTCTAGACAGCTGTAACCTGGCCATGGCCTGGAGGGAGTTTGGCCTGTGGTTGGTGCCACTCCCTCTGCAAATCCTACTACCATGTGTCCTTTCTGTTTTGGGGGGATCTGGGCTGGAGGCTTCCTTGCCTAACTAGTCACTGGGCCCCATGATACCCAAAGAAGTTGATAAGGGAACCAGAAGCCAGTGGACCATCCCAGTCTCATATCCATTTGGGTTTGGGTCCAAGACCAGCATGGCTACAGCTCTCCCTCTCCCCACCTCAGCCCCCTTCCCCTTAGGCAGTGGGAGTCCCAACAGGAAGGGGCTGCAGCCCCCCTGGACACACGGAGGGTTTCTGAAGAACAAGAGGACCAGGCTGGGCTGAAGACATCCACGAGCCCCCCAGGCCTGGCCTCAGGTACTGTACCATGCCCAAGAATGACCTGACTCCCACCTGGCAAAGGAGCCCCCCCACCCACCCAAGACCAGCACACGGTAGCTCAGCCTCCTCCTCAGCCAGGCTCTGAGAGGCTGGGTAGTCCTCTCTTGGGGTGGGAGGCTTGCAATCTAGGAAGGGTCAATCCCAACCATCCCCCCTGCCCATGGGACCTGGAGGCCAGCTGGGATAGATGCAAGAGAGGCATTCTACAAAAGGAGTGTGTGGGCTGAATCCAGAGGGGTCTAGACCGAAAGAATGAGCCATCTGAGAGGTAGGTAGGGATCAGGGGTGTTCACAACAGCGTGTGCCCAGTTCTTGGGAGAGCAGGCAGGAGGCCAGGAGTGGGGAGGAAACCACCAGGTCTGCCAGGAGACCAAGGCAGGGAAGGATGCCACCGTAGCTTCACCCCAGACAGGACCTGTGCTGGGATGCAGAACTAAGGAGTTGGCATGGAGCTGGAGAGAGGGATTCACTCCAAGGAACACTGGCTTCAAAGTGGACTGCACTCTGAAGCTACAAGGTAGAGGTCCCTCACCCAGCAAGCCTAGAGAGGGATGCTGCAGGCATGGGAAACAGGAGCAAGGGCTCGAAGATCGGAAGATTGACCTTCTTGGTGGGAGGAAAGAGGGCAAAGAAGCCAAAGCTTTGCCTTTCTATGGGCTGGCTGGTTCCTGAGCAGGGGGCAAAGAGAGGGCCTGAGCTAGTCTACAGGGACACCCAGTGGACAAGGATTGCAGAGGTCAAGGAAGAGCAGGAGGGCGGCCAGTGGAAGCAGTGGTGACTGGAGTGGTCACAAGGCAGGGACACTCTAGGAAAAAGGTGCCTGCGCTTCCTGCTCCGGTTCCCAGACCCAGGTAAATACCAGGTGACCCTGGCCGTCTGCTTCACTGTATAGCAGGGACTTAGGAACTGGCCTGAGGCCACCAGCCTGTGACCAGGCCCTCAGGCATGGGACCCAGATGACCTAAAGCCAGAGCCCTGTGGCTTTTTGCCTGCCCCAGAGGAAGGCAGTCCAAGTAATAGAAGTCATGGGGCTGAGGGCCACAGCTTCCCTGGAGAGCAGAGGAAGAGGAGCAGGGTGTGTTAACTGGAAGACAGGGGTGCAGCCACATGTAGGGGCCATGATGGACACTGAAGCCCTCTCTGCCTATGGTGCAGACCTCCCCAGGCTGCTACTATGGGTGAGCAGTGACCTCCCCTGTTGTGATCCCCTGTCTGATGGGGCTTCTCTGACATGTTGTCTCTTTCTTTGCTTTCTAGGGCATTCCAGGACCTTGGGCAGTCACCTGATTCCTTCTCCCCCCAAGTACCCAATGACACCTGATTCAGGCAGCATCTCTCCCCGGGGATCTGTAGACCTGCCCTTCAGAGGGCGTAGGCTCAGAGGCCTGGGCAGCCTAGGGCCTAGCTTGGGTGAGGGACCTGGTCTGGGTGAAAGGTTGGCTGCAGTGACTTCCCTAAGAGCCCTAGAGGTATCCTCAGGCCCCAGCCCTCGAGCTCAGGGGTGTCCAGACACAAAGCCAGCACCGGCTCCAGCAGCCAGACCTCCAGGCCTCCACTGCCTGTGTCACCTGAACCCTATCCCCTCAGCCCATTCCCAGCCTTAGCATACCCCCACACATACACTGCTGTGCTTGCCTCAGTTGGGGCCAAGGGATGCCCTTGAGATCTTCGGTGCCCTTTACAAAATTCTGACCTCACAGACCCCAGAGCATCTGGGTGGGTATATGGGTGGGAGGTGGGCCTGGCACTGGAAAGGGTCCTTCTGGTGGAGGGAAGTCCAGGGTTTGGAGCAGCCAGGGGGCAGCAGAGGTAAGAGCCCAGGTCAGGTCTGAGACAGGGAGGGCCCACCTCCCCACCACTGCCACCTCTTCCATGGGGCCTGGCCTTCCCAGAAGGAATGAAGCCAGGCCAGGAAGTGGCCTTTCCAGAGAGGGTGGAGCCCAAGCCAAGGTGGCTGGAGCTAGGGCTGGGTTCTTCACATGCCCCAGGGCTCTGAGCCGTGGTCTCTGCTGCCCAAGGTCCGAGCTACTGACCCTAGGCCTCTGAGGGCACAGCCAGACCTCCTACCCCTGGTGGATCTGTGGGTTTCCCTGAGGTTGGGGTGGAGGGTAGTTCTCTCCTCTTGGGGCAGGATGCCCCAGAAATCAAACGAATCATTCTCAACTCTCGGGTGTACAGAAATGCGATCTACTTTGTAGGCAAAGTTGGTTCAATAAATTAGGCAACTGGCACTGCCTGCCAGGCTCCACAGCTTTACGCCCGCCGGGACACATCCACGGTGATGGGTGGGCAGCTGAGAAAGCGGAAGCCGAATCTGCTCTCCGCTGTGTTCTGCACTGACAGGGCCACCATGGGGCAGCTTCGGTCCACGGTTTTCCGGCACACCTGCGGAGCGACCCGGGCCTGAGAGTTGAGTTTAGCAGGCAGGCGAAGGCGGACCCCAAAGGAGTGGAGCCAGCGCACTTACCCGGACTTTGCACTCCCTCCTTGCGGGGCAGTCCTCAAGGCACAGCCCAGCCTCTGCGTGGGACCAGACCGAACGGGATGAAGCCAACCGTGTTCCCCCGCCTGTGCGTCCGCCCTCCCTCTGTGCCCCAGTTCGCTCACCCGGAATGGCAGGCAGGAGCTGCGGCTTCTCGGTCTTGGCGCCTTCCGGCTGCGCTGGAACCTCTCCGGGGTGGAAAGGCTTGCGGGTGCTTTGGCGCTGCAAGATGCCCCGCGTCCTGACGGGGTGAGGGGTCATGAGGGCCACAGCGCGCCTGCGAGAGGTGTTCCTGGCAGGGACGGCGCCTGGGAACGTGGAGGGGCTGAGGGGCATCTTGAACAATTCGGGGCGCGAGCCGGCCTGATGCTGAGGAGTACTGGGCAGGGCTGTGGTCCCGCTGGAGGTAGGGCTTAGGAAGGTGGGAGCGGTCCTGGCGAGGGTATGGGGGACGGGTTTTGCTGGGGCGAGATCCAGGAACTTGTAGTGCCCACCCCAACTTTCGGCGTCCAGCTCTGGCCTCCCGCGCTCGGCCCTTGCGTGGCGGTTGAGGCTGGCGCGGCTGCTCCTTGGCGTTCGCTCCAGGCCGGGTCTCTGAGAGCGGGAAACGGTCAATGGACCAGTCGGTGTTGTCAGCATATGTCTTGGAGGCAGGGGTCACACGATGTGGACTTTGGTACTCACTGAGTACCTGAAGAACCAGCAGGGGTGTGTCGGTCACCCCCACCCTGCAAGGCCCGTCCACCCCCTCCCTTGGCTGGGACTGGCACTGACTTGGCCCTCAGGGTTCAGGAGCAGCGTCACACAGCCCTGGCTGAAGTGGATGTGGAAGGGGTCCTGGCGCAAGGACACCGGCCGCCGCTGCTTTTTGGTGCTGCTGGTTCCCTCGCCCCACACCTGGGAAAGGTGGGGGGTGCTGAGTGAGAGGAGGCGCCGGCCGGGTGGGGCCCTTTGGACTCTTGAGCAATGGGGCGCACCGTGATGTGGTGCCCCGGCGGGAGCAGGGTGCTAGGCGGGAAGCGGTACATGCACACCGGGAAGCTGCGCACGACCTGCTGCAGCACGAAACCGCCCAGGTCGACCGTCTGCTCCGAAGACTGGTTGAGGATGCGGATGAACTTCTCCCGGCGGTTCACTGCCGCGATCTTCAGGCAGCAGCTGGGGCGGGGAGGGAGGACTGTGCAGGACCAGAGGGTCCCACCCATCCCAACAGCCGCCCACCGGGTTCTGATGGTGCATTCATGGCCGGGCGGCCCCCTCACCTCAACTGGTGCCCTGGATACCGTTGGCCAGGGTCTGTCTGGGGCTCCAGAGCCGTCTTGCTGGGAGGGTGTTTGTGGATTTTCTGGAGATCTAGAGAAAGGAGCTCTTTGGGGATGGAGGCCCCACATGGAGGGTCCAATGGGGATGTCCCCTGCAAGGCAGGCCAGCCCTGCAGCAAGTGGAGTGTACGTGGGAGGGGAGCAGTGCCAGGGTTCTGATGTTGGACTCGAGGGGACTAAAGGACCTGAAGATAGGGTTGCAGAAGGGTAACAGGGAATCCTGCCCCACTCGACCTTCTGTGTCTTTGCTGAAGCTCCTAGAGCATGTCTGGATCTGCTCGGCAGAAGTCAAGCCTGTCACCTGTGGCGGGTACTCTGTCACCTTTTGCACTTGAGAGTGTAGGACCAGCTGGCAGCTGCTGGAGTCAGAGCCAGCATACCCCGAACTGCTGGTGGCCACCCAGGGCAGGGACCTCCACTGCAGCCTCTTGCCAGGCTTCTTCCGATGCTTGCCAGGGGAATCCGAGTCCCATGTGTCCAATGGTGGGGAAGGATGAGACTGGAGCCCCCTGGGGCCGTGCTCTGATTACTGGCTGCTCTGGCACCCAGACCCCAGCCCTGTCCTCATCCAGCCTCCCCAAGAGAGTGAGTGGGTACCCTGGGTTGTCCTCGGGGTATTCAGGAGTCAGACCTGGCTCATGGTAAGACATTGATGGCCCAGGAGTCCCTTCCCTTCATCCCAAACCCACTCTGCAGACCAGAGTTGAAGCTTGGAGTGGTTAAATGACTTGTCTGGGGACACTTAAGGATAGAATGGGACCTGGTCCACTTCTGCCAAGCCAAGCCCTCCCTTCCCCTGGCCCCTGGGGATTCCCTGCTGAACGCAGTTACTTTTGCTGGGAGTTGAAATTGATGCTGGTGAAGAGACTGGGATACCAGTGGGCAATGCTGTTCCAATCCACATCCTCCAGCCGGAAACCCTGGCCAGGAAGCAACAGACAGGTGGCTGTCCCCTGTAGCAGGGATCTACAGGCCTTGTCAGGCCTGTGAAATGCCTCACGTGGGATGCCTTGCTCACCTCCCCAGCAGAGGGAGCCTGATCATTATCAGATAAGTCGCTGGGGTCCATTAGAGTCTCTGCAGTGACCACCTGCAAGAGACCACAGACCAGCATTGGGGAAAGATACCCCCTCCTCCACCGGACCTCTCCCCTGTGACCTCACCAGTGCTTTGTGTCAGGACTGCAGGTCACACGATTCCTCCTGTGGAGGCAGCCTGAAGAGGGCAGGCTTTCCAGGCAGGCCAGGAACCCCACCCAACACAGGCACCAGCTAGAGCAGCCTGCTGGTTCCCAAAGAGGGCTGGGGAAGGGCACCCGGGAGACAGGAGGGCTGGGGGGCTCAAGCCCACCTCCACACTGCCAGTCTGTGACCGCACTATGTGGTCCACCCAAGAGGAGCAGGCCAGTTGCAGGAGGCATGACTTTTGGAAGGTCTGCAGCTCAGCCTCCAGCTGCTGCAGCGTGTGAAGGGTCTGTGTCAGCCGATTCTCCAACTGCTCCTTCTCCTGCTCAGAGGAACCAGCCAATGAAGAGCCTCCTTCAACTCCGCCCCCCAAAACCAGCCCCTGTGTACCTGCCAAGGCCCAGCCCAGCTCCCTGATCCCACCCCTCACCAGCTGGGCTAGTTCCTTCTGTGCTTTCAGCTCCAGGGTCAGCTTCTGGACCTGGTTCTGCAGGAACTTATCCTGACTGCAGGAGCTCCTGGGAGGAGGGGCAATCTCAGAAGCCCCCACCTCTGGGTCAGGCAGGGGTTCCTGATGGCAGGTCAACAGCAAAGGAGAGGCCCCACTGCCATCACACCCTGAGGGCACACAGGGTAGCAAGCCAGGGCAGGTTACTCTCTGGCAGGTCTGGGCAGGGGTCGACAGGCTTGGGATTAGGGTTAGGTTTACAGCACAGTAACTCTTATTCAGAGTTAGGGTGGAGAGTTGGGGGTCACATAAGGATTAGGGCTAAAAGCAAGAGTCAGGGTGAGGATTGTTTCATGGTTAGGGTTGGTGTCCAAAACCAGGAGTTAGGGCAGTACAAGAGCTGGGTTGGGCTGGGGTTTCATTGCTGACCTCTCTGGGGGAATCCCTGCCACCTCCTGCAGGATGTGGCACTGCCGGGCATTCTGACCATTCTGGATGGCCCACCGTAATGCCTGGATCTCCAGTTCTCTCTGTTCCCACAGCAGACGCAGGGTGCGGGGATCAAGGGACTCAGGGGCCAACCTGCAATTCCAATGCCCCTGCCACTTGATCAGGCCTGACCCTCTGACCCAGCCCAGGAGGGTTGGGCCACGCTTTCCTCTTGTCCTTACTTCAGGTTGAAAGAGACCACTGGTGTACAATGGGGCTTGGCGTCCTTAGGTGTGCCAACGGGAGACCCCAAGTCATGGCTGGTTGGCTCTCCACCTGCTGGGGCCAGGGGCACCTGCTCCTCTTCAGACTCCTGGAAAGACTTGGGGGCCATGCTCGATGTTGGTCAGGAGCTGGGAGGAGACATAGAGTCTGCCCTTGTGTCCCAGATGTGGGCATCCCGCGGGACTCTCTTTGTGTGTCAGAGAGGCCCGGACAATGCTGCCAATTCATAGGAGGTCACTCGGAGGAGGCTCATATATATGTGTCCAACCCACAGAATGTGGGACTACTGGTGACATGGATGTCCTCGTTTGTGTGTTTCAGGCCAGGGTAGCAGGTCACTCTCTAGGCAGCATGTCCCCAATGTGTCCACACATTCCCTGCTGTCTCCTCTCTGTCCCCCTTACCCTCAACCTACAGCAAAAGTCAGAGATGCTAGGACTTTGCCTGAGATCCTCACTCACGTCCTTCCAGCCCAGGGTCTCGTCTCACCCCCCCAACACTCACCTGTGGCCTAAGCCCTTATAGCAGGCCTGGGGAGGAAAGGGTTCTATACTGTTGCCATGGACACTGCCACCCAGAAGGGGAGGGGCTGTTTGTTACCGGGAGCCTCCAAGGAGACCCAGCCCAGAGCCACTGAGTTCTGGGTCAGCCCAGCCTGGAGGTATGAGGGGCTAGGCTACTGCCCAGCGAAGCTGAGCCAGGGAACCACTCAGGGTCCTGGAGCCCCTCCCTAGCCAGTGGTGATGGGTGGATTTTGGGGTCACTGATGTCCTGTGGTTGAGCCCACCCCTGTGAGTGAGTCTTTTTTTTTTTTTTTTTAATTTATATGTGCATACTGTGAGTGAGTCTTGAGACCACACACTGACCTAACCTGAAGGGAAGCTGAGGATGGTTGTAAGTTCAGGGAGGGGCAGTGTTGAATACTAACCAGCAGTGGTACACCCACCAGCCTCAAACCTCAGTGCCTAGCACTCACCTACCTAACCCATGTGCTGGAAGCCTCACCTTCCCCATCCCATCTCCACACACCCTGGGCTACCGCCAGTGGTGGTCCAAACCAGGAAGCCCTGGGGACATTGCTTCCACCCTAGGACCAAACTGAGGCCTAGCGTGCACCATCCATACCTTCTATCTCATACCTTCAACCTCCTTTTGTGGGTAAGGGAGACAAAGAGGTGCGTCCCCCCACAGCCACCCCAAGTGCAGACAGCCATGAGGCTGAGGGCCTGGCCACCCAGCTGGCTTGGGTTAGCTCACTAGGGCAGCAGGGGAGGGGGTGGAGGAGGGGCTCCAAGCCCGCCTAAGTGTGCAAAGACCTGGGCCTCTGCAGCTCTGGAGGGCTCTGGGCCCCACTGGGGGCGGGATGGAGCCTCAGACAAAGAGCCCGGGCCTTTGTCCCAGGCAGCCTCAGGGCGGGTCCCCTCCCCCATCAAGGCTGCAGGGCTCATCAGCTCTGCCGGGTCCTAAGGGCTCTACCTCTTTTCTATAGGAGGGGGCGGAAATCACCACTTCCCAACCCGTGTCCCTGGCCCTGAAGGGCCAACACCGTGGGGCCGGTCGGGGAAGGAAGGGGCGGCTTTGGGCGCATGCCAGGATGGCATAACTTCAATCCGGCGCCCCCTCCCTGGGCGGGGACCCGTCACAGAGAAAGGCTACGGAGGAAGTGAACCGGGAAGCGTGGCGACACACCTGCGCTGACAGGCACCGCAGCTGCAGGCACGCCGCGTAGTTCGCAGGCAATGAGAAGTCGAGCCTGGGCCCCGCCCCTCTCCCTGCCCCCGCCCCAGGCCCCGCCCACACCTGGGGCCAGGGGCGGGGAGGAACTGCGAGCCAATGGGGCGGGGCGGGATGAGGCAGCCAATGGCGTGGGCGTAGGGCGGGAGGCACGCGCCACGGAGCTAATGGGGGTGCGGTGGGGCGGGGCGTACGGGCCGCCAGCCAATGAGGCGATAGAGTTGGGGCGCGCCGCGGCGCTGGGGCAGCAGGTTGCGGCCGCGACGGAGTCTGAGAACCCAAGTCCGGAGGCCGGTGAGCGCCCAGGTGAGCTGTGCCGGGCCTCCGAGCCTTCCGAGCTCGGGGCGAATCACTAGGGTAGCGGCTCCGAACGATCAGAGTTTCCGTGGGGCTGGACCGAGGGGCACGTGGGAGCCGCGCCGAACCTGCACCCTCCCGCAGAGAAGCGGGGACGTTGGGGTGCCGCGCGGCTGGAAGTCATTGGTGCGCTCTGCCGTGTCCTCGGTGGGCGGGCGGGGTGGGGGGAGGACCTGCCGGACTAGCGCACTGGCTGGAAGGGAAGGACAGCGGGGACGGACAGGGGACTGCCCGTGTTGGCGGGAGTTGATCGGACTTGATATCGGTCGCGAGATCGGGGGTCTGTCTGAGTTGAGACTCTGTTTCTCCGGGGCCCAAGACACTTCCTTCCCTTGGTTTGGGTGGGGGGAGGGGGGCGTTCCCATGGCAGCGGACGGCGTCGTGTTTACGTGCTGGCGCCCTTGGGTGCCTGGGGACTGCCGCGAGAGGGGCTGTACCCTTTGAGCCAGGTGACTGGGGACAGGAAATCCTGTACCTGGTTAATGATTCGCCTCGTTCCGGGAGTGGGGGCGGGGCAAGAGCAGGCTGGTGAGATGGAGGAAACCTCAAAGTGCTCACCAGGGCCAAACTAGTGCCCGCGCCACTCCAGGAATGCAAGTCCCGAGGGTGGGGCTGGGCACAGGAGGGCAGGGCCCAATGCTGAGGGGCCACAGCCCCTGATGCAGTTGTGGCAAAAGCCAGGAGGAGAAGAGGGCCAGGCTGTGTTGGGGCCAGGCAGGGTCTGACCCCATGATCCTGTCCTCCCCACAGGACAGGTATGGTCTTGGAGCTGGTGGCCATGGAACTGAAAGTATGGGTGGATGGCATCCAGCGGGTGGTCTGTGGGGTCTCAGAGCAGACCACCTGTCAGGAAGTGGTCATAGCACTAGCCCAAGCAATAGGTAAGTAATCTGGGGGCCCAGCAAGAGGGGCTGGGGTGGAGCCTGGTTGTCTAGCCCTATTTTTCACCCAAGTTCGGTAGGGCTGGGTCTTGATCCCTCTTGTCCTTCCTTAACTACTCAAGTCAGGTGGACAAAAAGTCCCGGAACACAGGCTGAACTCTTCTCTCCCCCACAGGCCAGACAGGCCGCTTTGTGCTTGTCCAGCGTCTTAGGGAGAAGGAACGGCAACTGCTGCCACAGGAGTGTCCAGTGGGTGCCCAGGCTACCTGTGGACAGTTTGCCAGCGATGTTCAGTTTGTCCTGAGGCGGACAGGGCCCAGCCTATCTGGAAGGCCCTCCTCAGACAACTGTCCACCCCCGGAGCGATGCCCAGTTCGTGCCAGCCTCCCCCCAAAGCCACGGGCAACACCAGGCCATGAGCCTCGAAAAGCACTGACCTTCAGCCTGGGATGCCCCAGGCTGGCCCCCAGCCCCTTGCCCCCTGAGCCTGAAACCCCCATAGTACCAACACCAGGCTGCTTTGCAGACCTGCAGGGCCTGGAGCTCAGGGTGCAGAGGAATGCCGAGGAGCTGGGCCACGAGGCCTTCTGGGAGCAGGAGCTTCGGAGGGAACAAGCCCGGGAGCGAGAGGGACAGGCACGCCTGCAGGCTTTGAGTGAGGCTACTGCCGAGCATGCTGCCCGGCTGCAGGCCCTGGACGCTCAGGCCTGTGCCCTGGAAGCTGAGCTGCGGTTGGCCACTGAGGCCCCAGGGCCTCCTTCGGCCACAGCGTCTGCTACGGAGCGCCTGCGCCAGGACCTGGCCATCCAGGAACGGCAGAGTGTGGAGGTGCAGGGCAGCCTGGCTCTGGTGAGCCGGGCTCTGGAGGCTGCTGAGCATGCCCTGCAGGTGAGCCCAGGAGACCCAGGCCCCTACCACCTCCTCACCCACTACACAGGCAGACTTTGGGGTCTGACACAGGATCACACTAAGGACCATGTAGGTTACAAGGGCTAGGGAACTCTATGGCCATGCTCCTGAAGGTCCTATGTGCCCCCAGGCCCAGGCTCAGGAGCTTGAGGAATTGAACCGGGAGCTCCGCCAGTGCAATCTGCAGCAATTCATCCAGCAGACGGGGGCTGCACTACCACCACCCCCACGGCTAGACAGAGTGCCCCCTGGCACACAGGTCAGATTGGTTCTTGGGAGAAACAAGATGGTGGGGGCCCAGCCCAGCCCCCAGTTGACACACACTCTTCACAGGACTTTCTGCCTCCAGCCAGAGAAGAGACCCTCCAGGGAGCCCCCCAGAACCGTGTCACAGTGCCCAGCCTGAGTCCTGAGGGTATGTCTGCCCCTTCCCACCTGTGGGATGGACCCTCCTTTGGCCTCAACCTTCTCAGCCCATGTCTTCCCTACAGTTTCCCCCATGTGGCAGAGCTCCTGGAGGTAGCAGCTTCTGCCCCACTGGGGCTTGCTGAGGACAGATGAGCCAGGACAGACGAGATAAGTTGCCTGGATAGTAGGCATCTGTGACCAGAGAGGATTCCTCCCCATGCAGTGGGATTCGTTGGTGTCCTGGTGTTTTTGCCAAGTCCCCTGAAGAAACACAGGACATAGCTCAGAATGCTCCAGGCCCCAAAGGCCACTACACCTTGTTGGGGAGAGGAGAAGTGTGAGCAGCACCTTCAACCTGCCAGTGTGTGCCTGCCTGTGGATACGCAGCCTCCCCGTCCCAACACTTGAACCTCAATAAACTACCCAAAGTGGCTTGAGTGTGTCCTGAGGCTGTGCTGCGCAAGGTCTGTGGGGTCCAGAACTTAAGGTCCATACGGAGACCACTGGCGGGTACTCTCAGCTACCTAGGATGGCCACAGCCCAACTTACAAGAAAGGGATGCTTCAGGGACCAGTGCTCAGTAAGATCCAAGACTGGGGGCTCCCTATATTCCAGCTGCTTTGCCCTGCCTGCCCCTGGGGGCTTTGTGATTTCCCAGCCTGGGGAGGTCTTACCAGCTCATGCATGGCCTGGGTTTTTGTCTGGACCCCTCCCCACCTGGCTTCCTTGTCTGGCCTGCACCTCACCAGCAGCACAAACTGAGAATGCCAGGACTACAAGCTAGACTCGCTGTTCAGGTTTGCTGAGAACTTGTGGGGACGGGTTCCTAGTTCCTGGGTCAGGTCCTGGGCTCCTGGGTCAGCCAGGCCTAGGAAGCTTTCCACAGAGGAGCTTCACCAGCCCCAGGGAGGGTGTGGGCATGGAGTGGGCAGTGGCTATGCCCCTCCTCTCTGGGTGGGTGTGAAGCTCGTTGCGAGCTTCAAGCTTTGAAATTGGGACAGGACTGTTTCCACAGTCCAGTCTAACTGCTACCTGGGTCTTAAGCTGGCTATGGCTTTGCCCAGTCCTAGACCTCAGGTAGGCTACCGGAGGAGTTGAACTGGGAGAACTGGGAGTTGAACCTAGGAGCCATAGCTCCTAGGGCTATGGCTGGGTTGGAGATCTTTGTGATGAGCAGAACCTCATCACAAAGATGCCCTGGGCATCACCAGGTCCTGGTGCAGCCATGGACAATTTTGGTGACAGAATGGGGACACCCTGGATCAACAGAGTCTGTGCTGGATTCAAAGGGAGGGCACATTTGGGATGGCCTTGGCTTCCTCAAGGTGTTTCCTGAGCTGAGTCTGCTGCTCCCCTTTCCTCTGGGGCTGACTTTAGGGGGCACGGAAGTCCTGAGCTGAAGGAGCAAGGAGTGGGAGAAAAGGAGGGCTCCTCAGAGGCCAGGGCCACTAGGAGCCCACCGCTGTGGGGAGCAAATAGGACTCTGTATTTCCTGCTTGGGGCAGGGCACAGGGAATGGGGAGAGGCCAGGCAGCAGAGGGAGGCTCCACATCTGGTATCAGCAGGCTAGAACCCCTATCTGACTACTCCCATCAGACAGGCAGGACCAAGCACAAGGTGACACTGAGTGCAGCCTAGAGTGTAAAGGCCATTAGGGCTGTGCTCCAGGTGGGTCCCAGGACACCACAGCCTGACTCAGGAGTTAGAAGCACCTCTGGGGACCAGCCCTAAGTCCCATCATGGTTCATTTCCCAAGCTAAGGACACAGGCCAGAGGGCTCAGTGCCAGGTGCCCATCCAAAGGCCACCCCACACACAGGGCCAAGCAGAAGTAGGTCACGTCTTTCCTCCATATTCCTTAGCCCAGACAAGAAGCAGGCAGAGCCTGCACACACCACATGCTCCCTGTGTCCAAAGGAGCACCTGTTTCTTCTGAAGCCTCTTCCCAGGCTCAGTCCTGTCTTGTGCTGTTGCTGGCCCTGAAGAAGGTCCCAAAGCTTCATCAGGCAGGTTGCTGTGCCATGGGTGAAGAAGGCTGGGGTGGAGCAGAGCCCTCCTCACCAGCTGTTCAGGGTGGACAGAATCCTACCCGAATCAACCCCTGAAAAGTTGCAAGAGTACTTTGGATCACTAAGCAAAACTTCTGAGTTACTGAAAAGTTCTGAATTTTAAACTTTACTTTGGAGACAATAGTGTGAGCTGTGCTAAAGTGAGGAAGTGCCAAGCACTGCACAAACATCAGATCTCTAGCAAGGCAGAACCTCACCAAGCAGGCCACCTCTCTAAGCAATCTGAGGCAGGACACCACTGGCTATTGGTGTGGGTTAGATAGTCACTGCTACTCTCCTTGCCTGAGCAGTCCATCTGGGAGGCAGAGCCAGGCTGCTCTGGTGAGTGGTGCTTGGGCCCTTCCTAGCCTCAGTGTGCCTGTCATCTCCAGCACAGAAATGAGAAAGATTTCCAGGTCACCTGCTGTCTAGCAATGTCAGCTCTGCAGGTTCTGCACACAGCCTCCCTGCCTGCAGAGACTGCTGAGTAGGAACCTACATTGGTGACGGGACAACATCTCTCCAGAGGCCAGTCTCAGTCCAGAGAAGCCTGGACTAAACCTATCCCTCCTCCAGTGACTTAGCTCTAGCCATCAACTGAGAGGGGACAGGGCCTGCTGTAAGTGCCCTAGCCCTATAGCACCGGGGCAACTCTGGACATGCTCCTTCTCCAGACTTTCAGCAGAAAGGGCCTCTAGGAAGGACTTGTGGCCCCACAAAGAGGTCCATGGTCCTGACTTCCTCACTAAAGTGGCAGGAGCAGGCAGAAGAACCCAAGCTGTTGCTGTCTTCCAGGAAGTCCCAGAGGTGGCCCTCAGGAGGCAGCTCCTGTTGGCGGGAGATCCTAACACCCTCGCCTGCCCAGGGCGGTCCTGGGCTTGGTGATCTGGAGAAGGCTGTCCAGGGGACTCTGCACAACTTGGCACCCTGGGACACACAAGGAGAAGAAAGTTCCCTCCAAGAGGGAATCTGGCCCAACCTCAGCCTCCACCTGTGGCGGGCAGAGAATCTGCCAGTGTCTCCCCATCCCCCAACCCCCAAATCACTACTGGGCTCCGATAGGAGAAGCCCCTCCCAATGTTCATCATCGCCTCTTCGGACCCTGGCTGCGCCCTCCAAACCTGTGCGGCTGCCCGCCTGCCCGCCAGATCCGGGTCACCAAGGAGCCAGGAGTTCGTGCTGCCCAGGGACAGATCAGCCGCTGTCACACGCACAGTGGGTCAGGAGCAACGCAGTGTGCGGTGGGCAGTGGCTGCCCTGCGCCTGGAGGGACGGCCCAGCAGGCGAGCGGGTGGAGGGGTTGTCCCCCCACCCGCGTCCCAGTCCCCTCCAACTTGGGCGTCGGAGCCACACCACCCCAGCTCCACACGACCCCCGCAACCTCCGGGGAAGGGAGGCCTTGGGGGTTCGCTCGCGCCCGCAAGCCTGCTACCCCTCTTGCGTCACCTGCGACCCCGGCGCAGGACCGTCGCCCGCAAGCAGACCAACTTCGGTGGCGGCCGCAGCCACCCTCGCGCCCCCGGCGGGCCCGGGCCGGGTCCCGCTGCCCCGCCCAGTATGCAAATGAGGGGCGAGCCGCCAATGGCTTGGCGAGCCGGGCCCGCCCTGCCGCACCGCAGCCAGTGGGCGCAAGGGGGGAGCGGCGCGCCCCGCCCACCGCCGCGCGGCCCTTCGCGGGCGAGGCCGGCGCGTTCCTTTCTGCACGTCGGCCTGGGGAGGGGCCGCCACCTGCCGGGCGGGGCCTGCCGGGCGCCACGGGGTGGCTTCTCGCGGGCTGCGTCCCCCGCTTTCGGGCGGTGGTACGGCCCTTGGTGGTCCCCCTCCCGAGCGCGGTGGTACGGCTCGGGCTAGCCCGGCGCAGGGGCCCCCGGCCGGGGGCGCGTCCTGGGCCGCCGTCTTCCCGCCTGCCCAGTGCGGTGGGACAGCTGGACGAGGCGGGCCCTTTGCCAGGCAAGCGAGAAGTTGTCCCCGACCCCCAGCTTGGTGGTTCTGCCCGGCCGACTCAGACCCCCCCCCCAACCCCATGGGAGGGCCGCCCCTCCCCAGGAACCCGCTGCACGCCTGGCTCACGTAGCCTGAACTGGCTGGGGCACGGCGCCCCCGGGACGCACGTACGCCCGCGCCACCCCTCGCCAGCTCCCAGGCGCGCGAGGGTCCCCAAGGGCGTGCGGGTCACTCTGGCTTCGAGCAGGGGGTTCCGGCTCTGTCTGATTTGCTGGGCCGGAAATCCAGGGGGCCGGCCCTGGAGACTCTGAGTCCCCTCTGTGTGATCTGCTTCCGCGGAAGCCTGGCGGGGGAGCCGCGCGGGCACTGGACTCTCAATGGGCATGCCCCCCTCCCTCCTGCGGCAAGGCGAGAGCACCCACTGGGCACTCAAAAAGTCTAAGTCGAGGGACCGGAAGTCACTTTCCTTAGGAGGTACCGGGCCAGCTTCATACTTGGAGTTTCAGACTCTTAGGCGGAGCCCCAAGGCGACACTAGGGGAGGCTTTGCCTCAGTCCCCCTGTCTGTACACTCCCTTCTCCCCTCCATGGACAAGGTGGACCCTGAGGCCGTGAAGCGGAATCTTGGAGCATCCTGGTCCCTAATTGGACAGGAAGGTGCCTGCTTCTCCTTTTTGCTTTTGAGGCAGGAGTGCTTGCAAGTGCTTTGTTCTTCCTCCCTTTCCCACCTTCCTCAAATCAACCAGCCTCCCACACCTGCCTCAGAATCTGGTCCTCCCTGGGGAACCCCTGGAGCTCTCCTTGCTCCAGGCAACTCCAACCTTGATTCCCCACGGTCATCCTGGTCCTTGACCCACCAACCAGCTCTCTCAGCCTCAGCCACTTTTGTCTATGGTTGCCTTCCTCCTGCCCTTCAACCCACTGCTCTGCTCTTATTCTCCATGCATCCATGGCCTCCCTGTACAGGCTGGGCTGGAGCCTGGCAGCTGCCACAAATTCAGCCTGGGTAGCTAAGTACTGGGGCCCCAGGGAGGTGTGCTCTGACCCAGCCCAGACTCCAGGAACTTGTAGCCCAGGGACAGAAATTCAAGTGCAGAACATTCTGGGGTGTGGGCATGTATGGATGGGACACAGGAAGGCAGCAGCTGGCTCAGTTCCCTTCAGTCTGAAATTGAAGGGTCAGCAAGGCCTGGATCATATGGGTCTTGAAGGAACCCCTAAGAACTGTTGGAGGCCCACATCTTCAGGACAAGGTATAGGTTCAGAGGAAAGAGTCAGACACTAGGGGACAGGGAGAAGCTGAGCTCCTGCCTTGCCCTGCTGGCATGACCCCCACCTGTGCCCCAGTCCTGCCAATGCCAAATGCACCCCTTTGTACCCTGGGTAGTGTGTTGAATAGTGCCCCCCTCAAAGACATGTCCATGTCCTA